TATATTATAAATAAAGGCCATAAAGGTCCCTGGTAAAATAAGTTTCATGCTGCTTACAATAATAAAATACCACATAAACTCAAACCCTTAAGTAAATACATATAATAAAAATACTAAAGCTAGATCTATCACTAAGTGGCATAGCGGTAGTTTTTCTCTGCGTATTTGTCTTGCACAGATACTTTACACGATTGTTGTCTGGTTTAAACCCAATGTATAGTAACAAAGCTGTGGTAGTAGAATAAGTTATAGTTATTGTATGGGTTGTAAAAAATAACTAAATTTGCATGGGTTGATGTTACATGGCCTTCGGCCATGTAACCCCGTGCAAATTTAGTTATTTTATAACCCATATAATAACTATTTTATTGCATGGTGTCTGACGTACAATCCCGTGCCAATAAGTAAATGAAAAAAGCACGGGTTGTTATATAAGACCCATGCAATAAAGTGCAGATTAATTCACTTAAGTGTTCTGGCCCATTCGACATACAGAATTGATCGTGGTTAAGGTAAAGTTATAATTAGTAAATAGTGTGAAATAACAAAAGAGTAACATAACCAAAAGAAGACGATTATCTAACTCGCCAAATATAACATGCCTTTATCAACTTTGCCTTATCGAAGCTTAGGATTGTGGAGTGACAGACTTGCCGTTTTCAGGTTCTCACTAGCCTAGCTATTTAAAAAAAAGCATATCTGATGAATAGAGATCCCACGATTCACACCCAGGTCTAATTTATAGTAAGATTACTATGTTGAGAATCTTGTATAGTAGTATAAGTCACAGTATATTCAAGTTTATTTATGTGCAAATAACTTGACTCTTTAACTTATACATATATATATGTTGCATTATTAGTTTCGGAATAAATATTTTTAAAAGACAATCTTTTACAACAAACTAGCAACAATTTAGAGTAATCATTTTTATAATAACTAATTAATATTCTGCTGCTTTTTGATCTAGTCTGAAAATAGCAATACAGTTTTTAAAGAGTGAGATGATTCACAAAACAAGGCTGATATAATTTTGAAAAACAAATTTTTAAATTGCCCACTTGTTATTAAAATAGCCAAAAGTCTAAATTTATGTTAAAGACATTATGTCAAAGATACAAACTTTTAGAATTTTTTGTTATAAAGAAATTGAGTTAATAGGATAATTATAAGGTATTGGAATATTATAAAGATCTATAATATAAGTAAGATGTTTGATATATGTATAAGCCAAGTGTCATATATAACTAATCTCAAGTAAAATACTAAATATCAGACCTTTTTAAATGTATCTCATCTCAAACAAACTGTAAGTATAAATTGTTAGAAATTTTGACTAAATAAATTTGTGGATTAAAATTCTTCGCTATATTTACCATAATAATTGATTAACCTTTTGCTGGTTTAAACATTTGCGGTTTATAGCAATATTTATCTTTTTTAGTAGGATCTTGAACATGTTTACGAATTTGTTCATAAAGGTACCACTGTCATTCTGCACTTAATCCTGGGGTCATAATTTCTTCAGGAAAGTTTAAAATAGTTGACTTTTTTGTAGGTTCTTTTTTTTTTAGAATATTTACTGCAATTTTGTTTTCATTAACTTCAGTTTGTAATTCTACTATTCCGATCTTATCTTTTGAAAATAAAAAATGATGTTGTTTAGTAATATACTTTATATTATCATAAAATTGATTTAGAAATTCTGTCCATTTATAAAAATGAACTTTTTCTCCCCATTATTATCAAAAATAGTTTGCACTGTATTGTAACTCTCAGTAGTTGATGCTTCAACTACTTTAACTAGGTCAAGTAAATTATCTACTTCAGAATCTCGTAATTTTAGTTTAAAAAGTCCAAAAAAACTATCAGGACTAAATTTTGTATGTCCTGTAACCATAAAGGAATAAGTAATCGAATCATGTAATCCATTTGCAACTCTCCACATAAGATATTTTATCATTGCATTATTTTTGTTTTGGCCTGTACAATTATCGGCATGAATAATAATGCTTTTTTCTCCCAGACCATGATGAGTAAAATAATGATGAATTAAAGAAATAACAGTATTAGCAACTTTTCCTATACTTTCACATTCTTTAATTAAATAGGTTTTCTAAATAATAATAAAAGCATTATTATAGTTTTCATAAATTTAATTATTTTTAAGTCAAATTAAATACTTGTGCAGGAATTGCATCTTTGCATATTCCAAAAACTGAAATTCTATATAAGGATTTAAAGTATATCGATCCCTAAATTTAAAATTAGTAAGATAATTAGTTTATTTTTTACTTTAGTACATAGCGAATTTGTGAAATACTCAAAAAATCTAAAAATTAAACTACTAATTTTGTAATACTCATATTATAAATCTAATAAGTATAACAAAATAGATTAAACAGTAGAGATTAGACATGTATATTAATATAAATCAATGAATTATCATCTAAACCACCCTACCCTGTAGAATTTTCATACCTTTGTACTAAATATTTTGATATTAATAATGGTGTTAATTTTACGGGTTATATTTTATACAATTCATGCTGATACCGTATTGATAATCATAAATGACAGCCAAAATTAAAAATGTCAGATAAAGGCAAGTGAATATTCTAAACAGGGGGTGGTTTAGACCACAAAATACAGTAAATTATTTAATATTGTCTAATTTGGCGAATTTAATAACCAAATGTTTAGATTTGGCAACTAAATTTAGCTTATTTTCATAAATTCGCCATAGTGAGCTTAGAATACTCTGATTTTTAAATACTATAAATAAAACTCTTGATCTTAAGTGCTATAAAATAAAAACCTAAAAATGAATATTAAATTTTCATCATAGTAAGTTACTCCCAAAGTATTACATAATTTTATATTTTGATTATATTAATTATTAGAATACTGATTATATGTATTGACTATCAATACTGATATGGAGGCTACTATATGCATGATCTAAAAGACCCCAACTATAGTACCTCTCACAATTTTTAGAGGCCTGGGTATAATTTACATGGGGTATTATAGAAAAGGTTATTGTCATGGTATAGATCGATTCAATGGCAAAAATCTATACTCGATTTGTGAAATGACCATTGATGAAAGTCTAAATTAAAGCAAAGGTTAATAAAAATAAAAATAAAAATAAAAAAAAATAAAAAAATAAAAAAATAAATATATATAACTTATCCCTTAGTTATATATCGAGTTTAAAGGGTACATTGATCACATGGTTCGATTGATAATCGAGTCATGGTTAATTAATAATTAGTACAAGTAAAAGAAGATTAATGAATTAATTAATTAATTACATAGTTTAGAGAAGTCAAATATCGTATGATCATATTAGTTATTAGTTATGATGTAATTCATTAGTAGTTAATTTGTTATATAAATATGAGGAAAAAAATAAAAAAAATAAGTTTTCTCTTGCTTTCGTTAAAATAAAAATCACTAGTAAAGATTGATAAGATACATACCATCGTATTGAGACATAGGTAGCCTGATTTGTCTGTGATTATATTTGGGGTTAGAGGAGACCTTGACATTTATTAAAAAATAATAACACTTGAAATATAAAATACCCCACTTAATATATAGTATCTGCTTATATATAGTGCAATTTATACCTCCATGCTAACTATAGTATCTATTTGACTATAATACTCTGGGCTTTTAGCTCATGTTATACAGTAAGTTTACTAGTATAATAACTTACCGTATAGTTTTAAAATTAATTACCACCTCCTCTACCCCAATTTTTGAATCTCAGATTAGCAGACATTGTAATAAGTTCTTTGTCCAAATTATCTAAGGATGGTAAAAAATTATTTTTCACTGATTTAAATTATGCGATGATTATGATCTGAATATATTAAATTTAAATCTCAGCATATCCAGATTATAATCATCGCATGATTTAAATCGGTGAAAAATGATTTTTTACCATCCCTAAAATTACCCCACTAATCTGAGATTCAAAAATTAGGTAGAGGGGTGGTGCTTAATTTCGGAACTATATGGTAATATTTGCTTCTAGATTTTTATTCTACAGCACTTATTTTATAATTACCTCTTGTTGCGATGAATGTGGTAAATGAACATCCTCAGCAAAATCCCAAGAAATATGGTTTGTAAAATTTAATGAATTTGGAATTCCGGGTTGAGGTAAAAGAAAAAAATTTTTAATTTGCTGAATAGACTTTTTTGTATTTTCAATACATTTTCTAAATTATATTAGTAGTTAATATTATTAATATAATTTATTTATTATACAGTAATAACATTCTTACTTGTAAAATACTTTTTCATACTGGGCCCACTCAAAATGATAGTTTCATTATTTAATTTTACCTTCAATCTCATTTTCTGGCCAATATTTTGAATTGAATCGCATATCTTTACAAAGCTCGCAAAGATCGCTTCGTGGCATTAAAAATTTAAATTCAGGCACATATTTTTTTCAAACTTGATAAAATGATGAATGGCTAATATCATAATTAGAAGATTCTTCAATTGTATCGATATATAATCTATATAAAGATGAATAGCTTTTATTTGCCGGCAAGAATATAATAGGTTTTGTGTCTTCACATAAATGTCAGCCTATTAAATTTTATTTATTTTAGTATTAATTTAAATAGTATTAACTAATATAAAATTATTATTTACCAGGCGATAGTAATCCATGGATATTCGCATAATTTGTTATAAAAGTTAAAACATTTAAAACTGATTGAAAAGATATTGCGTGGTTACTAGTTTTATTTTTTAATTTATGTACAACTTGTACAAGACCAAAATTGTTATAATATTCACGTATATTGCACTATTTTTTTTCACCTATTCCAAAAATTAAAAGAAAGGCTTTTCTACAAATTTTAATTCCCTCAAATTGGTATAAAGTAGTATGAAGTGTTTTAGAATCTCCCTTGGTTGTGTGTTCTGGTGTTCTTATTAGCGCTTCTATCATTGCAAGTAAAAATACATCTAATTCAGCCTTTGTATAGTTTCGAATTTGTTTATACTTTATTAATTCATTATTATGATTAATTTTAGTTAAGCAATTATTTATACAACATTTATTTGTAGAAAGCCAATGAAGATATGCTTCTTCTTCTTGATTATCTAGTTGTTTTTTAACTAATTTAACAGAGTTTAATGCATCATCTTTTTCATCTTCAAAGGGTTGTTTCATATAAATTTGACGGTATATATCAATTTGTGTTTTAGATAGTACAGAATCAAAATTAAAATTTGAGCTATTATCGCTATTAATTAATAGTGAATTATCTTCTAATTCACTATTATTAATTGATAGTAAATAAGAGATGTGGCGGCTTAGTGAAGTGGTCAAGTTGTCACCCTCTCCAAGTAGCAGGTCTAGGGTTCAAATTCCACGGACGACGAAAGTTT